GCTGCTGGGTGATCTCTCTGGTGATCACATCCTCTTCCTATAGCGAAATCTTTGTTTTCCAATGAAAAAGGAGCTGTGCTTACAAGGATAGAGGAGGGTTTGTTTGATGTGGTGGGTTTTTTTGGTTTTGCTTTTTAAAACAAAATTCACTTTCTGGAGGGGAGAGAAAGTGAAAACTGGTGGGTATTTACTCTGAACTAGTTACTTGTCATCCAACTGTGTGACTGAATATTTAACATTACCTTGAGTGTTCATGGTAAAAGTACTGTGACTTTATCAATATGCACCTTCTCCTGCCATTCTTTGCAGCAAGTGACAAAGTGTAGATTTACTGTGCTCTGTGTAAACATACTGTAAATTTACTGGTTTGGAGTAAAATAACATTACCTTTTCAAAGATTCTCATTGGTCCACAGTTTTGTGCTGGGGAATATATCTGACTTTATTTAAACAAATGTTCTTTAAAAGAACAAGTTGGTTTTTTAGCTCAGTGTTTTCATGTAGGGCTTAGTTTACTATATAAATTGAGGTTGAATCCCTGATTTGTCTGGCAGGTACTGAGAGTGCAAGGCAAGAAATGCACCTCACTTGGCAAAGGAGGACACCGGTCCCAGCCTTGTGCCTGGCGACACGTGGCTGCCCCGGCCGACTTCTTCTCAGAAGCAGCAGAGGGGTGGCAAGGGGGCCAGACTGCAGGGGTTGGGAGGATGGAGCAGAGGTGCAGCTCTTTTGCCCACTGATGCAGTCAACAGAAAGGACATGGACACCAAGAAAAAGAATAGGCTTATTTTACTGTTCATTTCAGAACAAAATTAAGGTAATGCGTTTATTCAAAAAGAGAAGCTTACTATACGCTAGTTTTCAGAGCAGAGAAAATAATCAGGGCCTTGAATTTAATCATTACAATGTAAAGTTAGCTGGAGTGATTCAAGAAAGATACATCACCCTCGTTGCCCTAGTAATACCTTGCCATCATCCAGATCCACAGTCGCTGGGGGAGCCCTGGCTGCAGCGAGGATTTGGAGAGCCTGTCCCCTACAGGATCCGTGGCCAGCTGGCAGCTTCAGAAGAAACAAACAAACAAAAAAACCCAACAACAACACCACCACCACCACACACAAAAAAAACACCACAGCAAAAGAAAAGCCAACTATTCCTGTAGACTGAGCTTTGCAGGAACAGACTCAACGCTTTGTGTCTCAACTCTGTGACAGTGCAGAAAAGATCCAGTGCAACTGAGTTCACAAAGCACAGGGAAGGTTACCAACAACTGCAGCTCCTGGGGACCTGTGTGACCCTTGCCCAAAGGCATTCTACTGCTCCTGAAAGGAACTCTCAGGTTCAAAACGGTGTATTTTTGACTCTCCTGTATTAGATTAATCCAGGTGAGTCGAGGTCATCCAACTTAGGTTCCACTGAGGCAGAACCAGCGGCTGAGGGGAAGCAGGGGAAATCACAGCCTATCCTGTGTGCTTTTGTGTAGAAACAAGTTCATTTCAGGATGTAGTTCCATCCAACCCACTACTTTGTATACCCTACATTCCATAAATGTTCTCTGTTTACAAGCAACATAAGCCCCCATCAAAATCTTCCAAAGAATACTGTGAAAAAGTTCCATTAGAAGCTAACACAGTATTACTAGAAAAATGCTAAAATCCCTGTCTAATAAAGTCACAGCTCCACGCATTTGGCTTTTTAGGCATTACTGTAACAGTTTAAAAGTCAGTTTGCCAGCCCTGTTCTAGTAGACCGGAAAAGGCTTTTTTACATTTGTGAGAACAGATACCTTCTAGGACTATTAGCAGTGCAAAACAAAGATGCACACTGAGACCAGTCAGAGAGTATCTCCCTTCCCTGCCTGTATGCCGTAACTCTGAGACATGTTTCTTCTAAAAATGCTTAGTTATACACACAGTTCAACAAATAACACCAGCAGAGCAATAGCACATGCAACCAGCTTAGGCCACCACCTCCCTACTGAACTGCTTTCACATTTTCACACACAGAATGGGAAGATAGCCAATGGTAACTGTGGCAGAAGATAATTTAAAACAAACAAACAAAAAAACAAACAAAGCAAAATGAAACAAACAAAAAACCCCACACAACCACTTTTTCCAGAACAAAGACAATTTTTCTCTATCCACTGCCCCAACACTTCTCTTTACAACACTAACCAAATTTTGAGACCTGTTTCTATTCACAGTCACCTACAGCTCTCTGACCTCTATCCCCTGTAAATGAACTGTCAATGAAGAAATGCCAAGTACCTTTCACAGCTTCCTACAGGAAGCCCTACAAAGGCTGCAAAATCATCTGCAGCTATTGAGTCATATGCCTGAGAAACCCATCTCATCCATACATAGATCAGTGTACTGCTCCCCAGAACAAGGACATCCGAGACCATTTTTCCCTTTCATTTCCATTTTTCCCTTCACATTTGGAAAACCACCCCCCTCCTTAATATTAGCACTTTACAACTTCCCTTTCCACAGTTTGCTGACAGACCACAGTGAGCAGCCAGAGACAACAGCTTGCTCTGTGCCAGAACAAAGCCCCACAGAAGCCACACCTAACTCCAAATGCAGTCAGGAGCAACCTGGGCACCACCACCACTATAAACCAGTTTAGGAAACTCTGCTTCTATCACGGTCTCCCATTTGTAATAAGCTTGTGGGTCAAATGGTTCAGAAATGGGGAGGAAAAAAAATAAAAAAAAGAAAAAGCAACCTGTTTAACTACTCACATCTTTTTCACCACATCTGCTTTGATACCAGGGCATCTAATAATCACATGCATCTAAAGTGACAGAGAATTTGTTATTGCAAAATACCTGGGAAGGCTCCGTAGCCATCTGTACCACCCTCCAGCAGCAAGACTTTTGGATGTTACTACAGGCAGGCACAGGCAACAAAAACTTTGTCTAAAGCCACTTTGAAAAGAACTACTTTTGCCAAAGTGTCACAAGGTTCTGAAATGCTGAGCCAAGTTCTCTAGATTACTCCTGAAACGTCTGGTAAAACTGGGTAACTGACGGTCTACTCTGCTATTACAGAAAGAACACAATGTGGTGTGTGAAACACCAAAGGGAAAGAACATACAATCCCATATTGCAGCCCTGACAAAAGCAATTTCATTTGTTTCTACAAGCTGTGGCTGGTTTCTTTGTTTTTAAATGAGCTTTTTATTTACACCAAATACCTAAAACACTTCAGGTAAAACCTACAAACACTTGGCAACAACCTTCCTGACCACTTCCCATTTTCCCTAATAACTACTCGTTTGTCTATTTGTGTCTGAGCACACAGAAATGACAGAAAGCAACCCGAGATTCCGTGCTGCCTGCTGAAGTTCGGGTGTGGACCTCTAAGCGCTCCCACAACTGGCTAAGCAGTGTGAGACCAGGGGTCCGCGCCGACGGCTGTGCAGAGCCCTGGCAAGTCTCTCTGCTGGATTCTTTGCCCTACCGACTGAACGGCACCATGTTCAGCACCTGCCTGTTGAAACAAGTCCTGGCTGGCAGTAATCTCCAGATTCTTCTCTGCATATAACGGGGTCTGAGTCATGAGGACTGACACAACTTCCGCTTGATGAAAAAGCTCCTGGAGCTCCCCCAGTTGCTCCTTTCCCCACACATGGCCACAGGGAAGATACCAAATACATCCCACTGGTTACCCGAGTAACACCACACAGCCAAGAGGGCTGCACGAGAAGGCACATCTGCATCCTCATAGAAAGGCCAGCTCACCAGAGATGACGAGAAGGCACATCTGCATCCTCATAGAAAGGCCAGCTCACCAGAGATGA